AATCTACGCGGGTAAATTGTTTACAAAGCCACTATGATCAAAATTAACGCTATTTAAACAAACAGATGTTTTAAGAACGCAAAACATGAACACATATCATGAATATTTTTTAAACAATTGTAATAACTCTGTATCAAAAAGACGACTCATATTTTTTTTTTTCATTCTATTCCATTCGTAGATTTATGACCCTCTGTTCGAGGACTGCATCAGAGCAATAAAATTTGAACGATAATTGCGCGCAGCGCGGCTATCTGTTAGATAGCTATAAGTACAAAAGTTCGCTGATGATGATTAATGATCGTATGCTCGCACATTGATGAGGCCAACACGATGCATGTGGCTTGTTTATATCATGTTTATTAGCATGATGGCAACGTATAATTAGTATTTACAAGCGTACTCATGTGCTAATGCAGGGCGGTGCTGGTGACGCAAGTAGATGCGTGCCGAATAGTCATTTTACTCCACAATTATACAATAAAATGATCAGCGGATCAAAACATTCTTAAACAAACTTTTTTCTGCAATGCACCAAATGCAGTAGACAAAATGTCATGCCATCATAAACTCTATTGTTTAATGTTGTTGTTGTAGCGTGTTTTTCAAGTGAAATATTTCCGCAGATGTTCTGTAAATGATAAAAAGTACAAATATAATTAATTCACAATTTGTTGGAAAAGTTGTTTATAAAGTTGGATAATGAAACATGTAATTATTTATAGGTTGGTCAATGATTCAACATTTTCCACATGCGTTCGTAACGAACAGTTAATTTCCTAAAGATTTATAAGTTTGTTTTTTGCCTTGGTCACTGTCGTTAGCGCGGACATTTTCGTAGTTCTCAATGTAGGCAGCCAGCTATTCAGCGGACGCGTATTTACATAATACATTCGTGCGTTACGTTTAGTCGCGTCTCGCTCGCAGTTTTGTTCGATGAGCTCCGCGCGGAAAAGCGTCACGGAGCGTCGTGAAACTTACACAATGGCTCGGATTAATGAAGGACTACCGGTTCGCCAGCCCGCCGTGCGAGTACTTCCGACGTCTTCTGCGGTTTTCCACCGACTCATCGCGCTGCGTATTTATGACGACAAACACTGAAGGTTTTCTATTTTCGTTACGTTTCTCTACGCTTTTTATTTGCGTAAAGACTTTCATTATTCATTTCTAACTTTTTACAAAAAGGGTAAAATATCTTAAGGACTATTAATTTATATAATCACAAAGGAGTTGTGATTTTCTCACCCTTAATGAGAGATTTTCTATTAAACAAGTAATTGCGAGTGCACAAGGCACGCAACTGAACTGAGGCGTCGTTGTATAGTAGAGAGCATAATTATAAAATGTTAATTAAAATTATATCGTTTTGTGCGGCGTGTCGTTGCCAGCGTGTGGTTTTCCACTTGCCTACGGCAAACGACCGAGACGTAAACTTTACCTCTGCGCATAAATCATCCTAAAACGCCGAGTTTCGCATAGTTCCACGTAGTTACACATGTTTAAAACATGTGTCACGCGTAAGTTGAGATTAAAATTTTTTTGGGTTAAAAATGCGCTTAATCTTAAGAAATTGACCAGTATTAATTCATAAATGCAATTGACATGTTTGGCACATGCACTTAAGTAAAGTTTCACTTATGTGCCAGTTGCGGCTACAACAAGAACAATCGATAAATTGATGGAACACATTCGCGTGCTCAGCGCATTACGCTTTGATGTGGTGCGATGTCGCGTAACGAGAGAGTAGCGTCAACGGATGCCTTGCTTCCTGCGTCCTTCCGCATCAAACAGCACTCACCTTCCCTTCGACGTTTTACATTAAACTACCAAATTGGCTCGGATGAAATGGCAGGCAATGCAAAATAAATAAGTGTCTAGTATCGGCTGGGTGTGTGTGTGTTTAGGTTGCGCAGGTTGTGCTGTAAAGTTGTCGTAACTAAGTTAAAAACAACTTGCGCCGGCGCTGCAAAAGTTCAAATTACTTGCATAATTATTTTCCTATGAGCCACAAATGAAGCGGCATGAAGACAGGAAAGCGAAACTGAAACTGAAACTCTCGACTGTCTGAAGCACAATGCGCTAACTTTTGATTGAATCATTGGAGTTATCGCAACTTTGTATTCAAACTCTTTAGCCTTTTGAATCTTGCGATATTATTAATTGAAAAAATGTCAATTGCCTGTCTCATTTTGCTGAATTTCGAAAAATTTCACTCGCGGATTTAATTTTGTGTCATTTTTTTGAAAATGCAGTATTTAGACGACTATATTTTATTACGACGCGAGGATGGTTATTAGTCCTCGCCGGTTATTCCCATTGGGAGTTATTACACGCCATCGCGCTTATCGTCCTGACGTCCTTCTGACCCGGACTAACCCTGGACTGAGCAGTGTTCATTTCCAACTGGATGTTTTTTCGTTTCATCCTGCGGCGCATTCGTCCGCATGTTGTAATCCGCGTGCTTATTTAACAAAAAAACCTTTTTACAAACATTTGACAAAGGAATATCATCTGCGACTATGTGCCACATAAAAAAACAATAACCACACATTGTCAAAGCACCATCCTAGTTTGTAATTAATATTCAATTATAAACTGTGGGCGTACTTTTAAGGATCGCAGTGACTAAAATGTTGTCTTTGCGCCAAGGTTAACCGCAACTGTCGTAAAAGACAACTCCCTCGACGTGCGACACTACAATATCACCCGAGGAATGATAAAGTCCTAAAAATATTTTACGAGCCGCGAAAGCGACGTTGTCTTTGACGTTGTTCGGTCAGAAACTATGCTTTACACTTGCCAGATTGAAAAGTTACGACCTGCTGCAGTGCACTCCCGGTGGTTTCACCTGAAGTAGGTGTACTGCACGAGAATTTACTTTATCCTATAGAAGTAAAATATATGTGCCGCTTAAGGCACGACTATTATTTAGCTTGCACCAAAGTGTTTTGCGCTAGTAAATCACATCATTAAAAATGTTAATGGCGACAGTGTTGCTGGATATTCATGCAAGTAACGCGTCATTATGTTATTGAAATAGAATATATTCGTTTGATGAACGTATGAAAATTATAACGAAGCGTATGAACAAATGAACTAGTGGCCGAATGGCACAAGGACGCAATGGAAATCATGAATATCAAGCGATTGTGCTAGCACGCCGTGCCGGGCGATAGCTTCATTACCATATTCGTCGAAGTGCTCTTTGTGAAACGCAAAAAGCTCTTTCTGTGCATGACCTTTTACCTTATAACTAGCTATTCGCATCTTGATTGAGAGGTTTCTTTGTACAGTTGCCAACATAGAAGTCCATCGCATAGTCGAATAATTTGCAGGCAAAAGCTTTGTCACAGCGTTCAAATTTTCTAAATTTAAACCGATATTAAAACATATGCGTGGAAAAATAATATTTGTCAGCTCGCTGCAGAGCAGGGCACCAGGGCCGGAGGGCAGATACGTGCGAATTGCTGTTAACTGAATTATTCACTTGCGCAAATAAAAAACGTGCCAGAGCAAGCCGGGGCACCCGGGCAACATGAAATATATGTGCGCACACGTTTATGCAAATTGAGCGCTGACATCAAACATGCACTGATACTCGAAGCAAGTATATTTCGTCGCTAAACCGTGCCGACGATGATGAAGCAAGCATGTGTCCCTTGATGTTTCGACCTCTTGACTGGCGGCGACGTCGAGATATACACTCGTCATTGCAGATGTACAAACTTGTTATATTTTTGAGCGAACATTTGAACGTGCTGAAATTGTGTTGGTCTTGTGTTTGCTGTATCGACATAGTTTGCTGGCAGCATTCCTTGGATTACTGGGAAGGAAGGGTTTATCTGAATATGCATAATCGAAATCTTGTTTCCGCACTGGACAATGTTCCGCAGTATGGGTGCAGCACACATTGTTGTAGACTTGGGTGGAATGTGGGTCAAGTTATGTGATTATCTATATCAATAAAAATGAATGTTTGTATGTTTTTATTTGCGCTGCGTGCATCTTACTTATGTTTAAATTTTATATTGTTGCGATTAGAACGTGTTTTAAGTATTTCTTTGTCATTGGCATTCAAAACATCAACAAATCGGAATAAATTTTGATTTATTGTCATCAAATTTCGTTAATAGTTGCTTAAAAATATTTTTTTAAACAAAGATGAAAATGTCAGTTACTTACCTAATAAGATACTGAAAACAAATGAATTTTTAATATATTAATACACATAAACATAGAATTTAACATCAATTCGACTTTTGAAGAAATTATATTACAAATTTATTGTATATTTAGTTAGTAGCACAATGCAAAACAAACTAACAGGAACAGTATTAGTTTTAATTAGTTGTTTGTTAATATCAATGAGTCTGCGTGTCATGTAATAGGCTTTGAGCTGTTTAAAGTTACTCACATCAAACCAGAACGATAGTTGTATAAAGTACAATAGGACCAAAGAGACCTCACTAATTCCATTACTATAAAACTAAATAATTCCTATGATTATATTTTGATATAGGTAGCTTTTAAATTTACGATCGAATTAATTTGTAAAGTAGATATAAGCTGCGCGTGAATGTAATCATACTTAAATCTAAGTCTATTATGTGATCATAGATAGCTCTACTATATACTTATTCAGATTAAATTCGAAGCCGAGAATCGTAGTTCGATGTTTGATAGATTATCAGTGCGTTTGCGAGAGTTGTATGACGACAACCGCGTCTGTGTGAGTTCACACTCGGCGTGTAGCTGGTTTGTTTGTTTGTATCAGTAAGTTTACATTCGGTTCAATAGTGACACACGTGGCTGTGTGAAATCGCAAGACTACGTGCTGCAGATTGTATGTTTTTATCAGTGAGTTGTGTGTCAGTACATATCAGTTAGTCCGTGTGAACTAACGCGACGCGTTATAATTAAATATTTACATGATTTCCAACGCGCTTCTTAATTTTGTTAAATTGCACGAGTGAATAAATTCGAGTTGTTTTGTGTTGCAGATTGTTTAACCAACTGCCGATGCTTAACAACACTAACCGCCATTAATCTCGATTTGATATTGTGGAATCTCTAACACCATGCAATAATATGTGCCTGCCTGAGATCGAACGATGATGATCGTGTGCTGAGTGGCGTTGCGTGTCTTCGCGTCGTGGCGCGACACCGGCGCGGCGATGCGGCCGGACGCATGATGTACCCGATGGTGCAACGACAGCCGCCGCATCAGCAGCCGCATCCACAACAACCGCTGGAAGCACGCTCGAGTTCGCCAGTACAACCGGATCCAGGCAGGCCACAGCCGCAACCGGACGCCGTCGCACAAGACCCCGAACGCCAGGACGATCAGGAGGAGCAGGAGCACCATCATCATCATCGCCATCGTCGGCGGCCGCTCATCCGACGCGTGTTCAACTATGTGCGTGAGGCCTGGACCGGTGTGAAGTCAGCGCTAGGTAAAAATATGAGTTTTCCCCACTTGACGCACGCCAAACCAGGGAATAGTGCCTACTTGTAGTTGTAGTACAAATCTACAACCTGATCGTGTCTAGTGTCTAGCTAGTCACACAGCGGGATTATCGATGAGCGCGTGCTTCCCGGGCAGATGGACGCTGAGACGCTTCTATCGCTTCGGTCGGTGTGTTTAATCAATCAGAACTGAGAATCAATTCGGAATTCCATCCAGCTTCTCCTGTGTCAACTAATGAATGATCGCTTATCACTCCAGGGATAATATTGCTAATAGTCTCTTGATTAACAAATTATTGTATAAATTATACTCAGGATACAGCTAGTTAATTATATTACCCATCTATATTTATTACAAATACTGATTGGCTTTTCTTGTTTCAGATTCCGAATTAGAAGATTTGGAAACACCGCCGCGATATCGACCCGACAGTTTAGAATCACTCTGCAAGGCGACGCGTTTCACGCAGGCAGAAATCAAACGCATTTATCGCGGATTCAAAGCCGAATGTCCGACGGGTGTCGTCAAAGAAGACACCTTCAAGATGATTTACGCGCAGTTCTTTCCACAAGGAGGTCAGTACTTTAATCTCATTGTCTAAATGTAGAAAATCAATATCAGTGATAAATAACGCAGGTAAATGGATGATTCCTGAAAGTTTTGTTCGTGTGGGGCTTTATCTTGGGACACCTTTCGCATATCAATGTAATAACAATTTCACTGGCGCTCCCGATATGATCGAATAAAAGTGTGATTAATAATGCAAAACGCAACGAGAGCGTGTGTGGCTTTTATGCGATGATACGGTTTTTTTATTTGCGTGTTATTTATAGCAATGCGAGGAGTGCGAATGGTTTAATTCATTTGCTAAAAGGCGGAATGGATATTTCGTATAAATCAATTTGACTAAAAATAGTTTTGCTTTTTATCACGGAATATACTTAACTCTACATCTAGCTGACTTCAATAATATTTGCTTGAGGTCTGTAAATGATTAAACAATTTGCTTAAACAAAGAACTTAAAATCATCATATTTACGTTACATGCAGCCGTTTTGTTTATTTTAGCAGAATTTAAATACAGATGCTCCAGACGTAAATGTGTCAGTAATATTTTGCACTGGCATCGAAAATTAACTGCAACATAAAAGCCGCTTAACAAATAAATGCTGCGTTTATTATTACAGGTTTGATTTTGCTAGTGATAATTTGATTTTCATGAATTTGGAATTACATGTTTGCGGGAAACGGTGCACTGTGTTTATTTTTCTTGTCAGTTATGTTTTTCTATCGGATCGTTTTGAACTTGTTTCCTTTCGCGGTCAAATGAATTTGATAGATACACTGCATAACTTAATATAATTATTTGTGACCTTTCGATATGTGCAAATCACAATCAACAAGTGAATTGGTTGAAATCAAAGCAACAGAGCTATAATGTTTTTCTAGTCGATTGTATTCCGCAATGGGTGTAGAGAATAAGTTGCCATCTGTTCCAAACTTGAAAAACATTCATGAATTATGTATCGTCGAAATGTATTTTCTAATCCAACGCAAACACACGTTTTCCGGCTGGTTTGCGCCGAGATTTCCAAATAAAAGATTTCCGACACGACTGGCAAACGTTGAAAGTAATATGTTTCGTTCCGTGTCGATTTATGTCTATTTTAAATTTGATTTTCCCGTCTCTGATGCGACATGTCCTGGAATGTTGAGGCGAAAAATGAGCAAGATATGAAATACCAAGGGATGCGCATTGAAGAATTGAAACAATGCGACCTTTCACAGCCGTTGATTTTTTATTTTTGTGTTTATCAATTAATAATAAAACTAATCATGTTTGTTCACAAAATTAACATTTCCTTTAGGCATTGAATAAATTATATGGCTAATGATTAATTAAATTCATGAAACGCGCTAATTACTTTCGCGAATACTCATTAATACATAATTAATTCGTGCGAATTGATAGTAAACTGTCATGACGGCAACGAACGCTGTTTTGATACGTACTAAAATTTATTTATTTTTACGTTTGTCGTATTTATTCGCATTTGAGTTCATGACATTTTTGTTGCCAAGGCAACAATCGATTCTGCAATCTAGTGCCGACTCAACCAGCGTATATGTACTGTATGGCAGTTAACTGTATTCATTCAACCAACTCGGAAATAATTTGTTCTGCGACACTCTAAGTCTCTAAGATAAAGGAGTTACACAAGAATATGTTGTTGGGAAAGTTTACTCCATGTATTTTACTCCCAATTACCTGTTTCTTCGCGCCGATAACAAATTCTAATGATCATTGACGTTCCAGGTGAAACTGGAACTTTTAATTGCGATTTCCAATTAAATAGTTCACTTCACTGAAATGCGAGAGCAAGTACATTCACGTAATCGACTTTAGAAAACTTTCCACTTGGGCTAAACCAATTATTTTCAACTTAAGATATTGATTTACAAATTTACAAATTAGGTGCACGCAATAAAGTTAAGTATAAATCTGTTTTATTTATTGTTTTAGCTAATTCCAGCCAATATGCCCACTACGTCTTCAATACACTGGATCAAGATCATAGCGGCCTCATAAGTTTTGAGGTGAGCAAATCATCAAACGTTTAATTTGGTTCAATAATCAAATGTTTATTTTTGTAGGATTTCGTGCAAAATTTATCCATCCTCTCGCGTGGTTCACTGGAGGAGAAACTTCGCTGGGCATTCACATTGTATGACATCAACGGGGACGGCTGCATTACGAAAGAAGAAATGACCGACATTGTCACTGCCGTATACGAACTTATGGGCAAGCTGGCCGAGCCGAGCATCGAAGAAGACACTGTCAAGGAAAAAGTCGATAAAATTTTTCAGGTAAATATTGAAATCATCGCATTGTGAGGTATATTTATGATGGAACCAATGTAGAAAATGGATAAAAACCAAGATGGTGTCGTGACGCTGGACGAATTCCTCGAGTGTTGCCAAATGGACGGTGACATTTCGACTTCGATGGCGGTTTTCGATTCGTCCTTCTGACGTTCGCCGGTCGGCGCTCGTCCACCGCCGTCGTGGACATGAACGTCGACTGCTCGCTCATCATCGACCAAAAAAACAAATATAAGCCAGCCAACCAAATCTTAAAATCTATAGCGTCGTCGCTGAGGTGTGAAACGCACGATATTTGCTTGCGATCGTCTCGCCATCGATAACCGTAAGTCTTCAGCGCGCTCCGCTGAAATGCGGCAAAAATGCAAAGCGGAATAAGTCGAATGCAGCTGTGATCTAGGGTATTATATGAATCGCATGCAAATTTGCTACCCCCGCCTCCAGCAGGGTTTCAATCAAATTTGCAATTATGCGCTTTCGGCATTGCGAACGGCGCAAACGTTTCGGAAATTTTCGAGCGCCGGGTGGAAACAAATATTTACTTAATCAATAGGCATACATTTTAAGAGAGCATTTCATCTCGTGCTCCAACGGTGACACGCAATTGCACTGCGTGGGCCAATAAAAATTTCATTGTGGATTTGCCGGTGAACATTCCCACCGACCAAAAAATTACAACGCAATTAATCTTCCACGCGCACATTTACGCTATTCTCTTGCAAGACTTGCCCTGATAGCAAAATCGAATATTTTAGAATTTTAAATGTTTATTCAACTCAGTGTCTGCCCCACGCTTCAAAATATATTTAGATCAGAAAACAATCTCTTAAAACTTTCATGGAACAATGTCATATCGATTCTGATTATGATTTATTTCCCAATTTGAATGTGCAAACATTTGATCTTCGTTCTAGAGAATGATATTATTGTTATAGCAATGTGTATAGAGAACCAGATAGATATTTTATGAAGAACTAATATTTCTCATGTTACTCTTCCTAGAAGTCTTAATCAAAACAAAACACTTTTTTTGCCTACACATATCCAGAATTTATATAAAGAAAAACAAACGAACTGTTCTACGAAAATGTTGTTCTGATTTATATTTGCTAGATGTTGTTAAAAACTACGACTGTTTGAAATTCATAATGAATCAAATCGCAAACGAGCAAAGGTGAAAAGAAAGAAAATTTATCGAACGTTGGAACTAAAATATTTAATATAAATGGCGACAATATAAATTTATTACCCAAATCATGGTCGAATTTGGTTTAAGTGTATTACTGAATTACTGTGTGAACAACACTAAACGAGTGCCAAAAATAAATGCATATAAATTGACAAAACCAATTAAAAATAACGCTAAGTTATTGCCGTGAAAATCATTCATATTTAACGTGTAATTCAAATTATAAAACGAAACTAATAAAGAATAAATTTAAATAAAATGATTTAAACAACATGGTCAGTGTAAATATTCGTTATAACTATTAATGTTGTAATACTATTAAAGAGAATGTAAACCTATAGATTTATGTATAGAAAAATATATTATTATAAATAATATTTCATAGTTTATGCCATACATCATATAAATGCCCTATTTTAATCATTTTTGTTTGAACAGCAATCGATGACATTTAATATTGAATTTTGATAATAATTTACCGTATGTTAAAAGTTTTGTGCAATACGATACATGATTTAGTTTGTATGTAGTAAAATATGTATTCTGGCATTGAATTCATTTTGTAAGATAACCGCTAGAGGTAGATACTATGTCCTCTGCACAAGTTTTCGGCGCTGTTTACGCACGTCTCAGCGTTAGTCGGTGCGCGTTGCTGAGACACTAGTAATGTTTTGTTGGGATTGCAGTTCGGTGTATTACAATTCATTTCGGACTCTTCATTCATTGACAATACACGTGTTTACTGATTAATTAACAATTAATTACAACACTTCGAACTTTTGAAAACGTTAACAGACATCAATGTGTATTTGTGCGTGAGTTTCCACTAGACGAATACATGAGTATTTAGTTGTTGGCTTATATTGGAATCGACTCTACTCGTCTAGTAAGTATTTTAAAAGGTTTAAATAATGCCATTTGAAATAAAATTCCGGTAACGTTTACGATTCAGAGATTAATCAAAATTAATAGTTCCATGCAGAGTACGAGTACAATTCTATTCATGTTCTGCACTACCACACTGAAAGTGTCAGTGTTTACAAACAAACTTGTTTTCTTATCTCGTGCAATGTTTGTGCGATCGCCACGCGGTTGGCTTGTGTACCGCGTTAGTCTCAGTTTTGTCGTCAGGTGATCTGCACGCACATTTTCTTCATTATTCTTGAGTTTCTTAATTTATCCTCGCATTGTCACGTAATATTTCAATGCTTTTTCGCGATTGTGCGTGAGTGATGTGCAGCGTTCGTTAAACGCTGATTGTACATATGTGGAGGTAAAGAGTGAGTGATGTTCCGTCGGATACTATTTTGTTTTACGAGTATACGCGTATTGCATCATTCCTATAATGGGAATAATTAAGGTCCTTGCAGATTATTGGATATGACAAAACGCAAAAATTTATTTTGCATCAAGGTATGTTTTCGCATTTCATCAGCAAATTTTATTTCATATGCAAATCAAATCCGTTATTGACTTTACTTGTTTTTACTTTCACCGCGTACACACAAATAATTTATGTCGCTGTTGCAACACCTATCGTTGAATTGCATTACGAATTCAATATATTGTTTCGTATTCGTTTACGCACAAATTAAAGAGATTAAAATTTAGTTAATTTTTAGTTCTTGATCTTCTGGCGGCTTTCCGGGCTGGTCGCCAGTTGTTTTACATAATTTAAATTAAAAATGTCCTATTGCTATGTTTTGTTTCTCTTTTACTTTCCTTTACTAATCTATAATTTTCTGGTTGCTATCTCTTTTAGTTTAGAAGATATTCGCTATCGAAAATCGTCGATAAAAACAATATATATAATAATTATTATATTATTATAATTAGATTCATTTATTTTGAATAAGTATATCCTATTGACTTCTATATTTGAAGTTTTGAGTTGTGTAAAAATTGCTATTTGTTTAGATAGGGTGCTGCATGCGCACTCTCGTGTACGTGTGAGTCACGGACACGGCCACTTAAGTGCGTGACCACTCACTTATACATAGGCAATCGCTCACTGCCTCATATGTACGCCACACTTTTTGAAACGCTTTGTATTTTCTGGGAGTACAATAAAGTATTCTCAGGTAGCGCAACGATGCATGTTTTAACTAGAAATTGAGTAACTAATGTTTTGTTTCTTCTTTATTTCAGTGTCTACTCACATTTGATTTGCGGTGTTCGATACACTGGTAAGTAAAATTTTTATCATTCATGCTTCAATAAAAACTTCAATAAAACTCAAATTATAAAATCTTGATTTAAATTTTAGTTCACTTGCATGAACTAAAAATCATAAAATAGAATTGTATTCGTTTTGAATTTTATCAGCGTTTGTTTATAAACCACTTTCTTATCGCATTCGCCGTGCGAGATGCTACGCGTAAGATTCTCGTCCCGCGGTCGCGTGCAGCACATTTTAGTTTCGTTCTTATCACAGGTACCGGGTCTATTGCAATTCGTGCACATGGTCGCATGTCATCGACGCGCCGCCGGCTTTGCGCATCTATTGCAATTCGCACACAAGGTCGCGTGGCATCGACGCGCTGGCTTTGCGCAACTATTGCTTTTACCTGCCGGGTTTATGCAGCAGACACAGCGTGCGCAGTTTCGGCATGTTCTATTATTGGATTGCAACTAGTTTCGTGCCGGTCTCTGGCGTATCCAGACGTAGGTATATCGCGCAACGCGTTTCGTTTTATCAGACTTCTATTTTCAAAGTTTGCACTATATTTGGTCATCAATCGACTTTGTCGTAATATGCATCTGCAATGTTTTCTTAATAAGTAATTGTGCGTTTAATGTGCCTAAATGTTTATTTTTGCTTGCTTTTGATGTTTATATTTTAAATCAAATATTTCGGTTACTGTGTGACGTGGTCGGTCGCTAGATCAATCGGAAACCTATTCGTGCTTGAGTAAGTTACTTTTATACGACCAATGCTCATACTCAGCACAGAAAGTTTGTTTTCTCCCATGTGTGAATATACTATTATCATATTGTAAGAAATGTTTTTGTTTTAACTTATATTTGGTTTTAATTACAGTACTTGCCGTATCCTTGCAATCCGATGAGCGCTGCATTGGTAAGTTTATAATTAAGTTATATTATTTGGCTAAATGTTTTATCACATTTCACCTTCGTATTGCAATAGCCCGCGTATGGGGGGGGGGGGCGTATATATTTCTCTTAATGCTAATATGAAAAACGGATCATATTGCGGAAAACCTTTGTGAAATGTTATAAAAAAAATTTATCGAATTCTGATAACGCAAGAGAGGTTTCGTTAATTTAGTTGAGTCTCTTTTGGTGTACCGTAGCAGGGTGGCGATAGAAGAGACTCGTGTTCAGAGCACCGTAGGAGCTGACGGTAAAAGTGTATCGAGTTCGGGCACCTTACGAGGATGAATGTATAGCATATTAAATGTCACTTTTTAGTACTTTTAGTGGCGTTTTATGACCTTTTACTGTTGATAATTAATTATTTTATATTTTTATCTGATTGAGAATTTTCAAATCTTTCTTAATCAGCAATTCGTTGGTTGCTATCTCTTTTAGTTCAAGAGATATTATTTATCGAAAATCGTCGAAAAAATGTATCAAGCACCCACCCCCCCTTGGCAATTTTTTCTAAAGAATGAAAATTTCATCTCTCAGATTTCCGTTTTAACAAGCCTATCTTATAGAGAATAGTCCGTAGATTAAGACGCTGCGATCAGATCCTATTTATCTCTTTTAGTTTACGAGATATTCGCGATTGAATAAAATGGGTAAAAATTGATAAATGTCACTTTTTAGCACTTTTAGTCGCGTTTTTCGACCTGTTGCTGTAGCAAATAGAATTATTTTATATTTTTATCTGATAGAGAATGTTCCAATCTATCATAATAAACAATTCGTTAGTAGCTATTTCTTTTAGTTTAAGAGATATGAATTTTTGAAAATCGTCGAAAAAAAGTATCAAGCACCCCCCCTTGGCAATTTTTTCTTAAGACTTAAAATTTCATCTCTCAGATTTCCCTTTTAACTATCCTATCTGATCGAGATTGGTCCGTAGATTAAGACGCTGCGATCAGATCCTATTTATCTCTTTTAGTTTACGAGATATTCGCGATTGAATAAAATGGGTAAAAATTGATAAATGTCACTTTTTAGCACTTTTAGTCGCGTTTTTCGACCTGTTACTGTAGCAAATATAATTATTTTATATTTTTATCTGATACAGAATGTTCCAATCTTTCATAATCAACAATTCGTTGGTAGCTATTTCTTTTAGTTTAAGAGATATGAATTTTTGAAAATCGTCGAAAAAAAGTATCAAGCACCCCCCCTTGGCAATTTTTTCTTAAGACTTAAAATTTTATCTCTCAGATTTCCCTTTTAACTATCCTATCTGATCGAGATTGGTCCGTAGATTAAGACGCTGCGATCAGATCCTATTTATCTCTTTTAGTTTACGAGATATTCGCGATTGAATAAAATGAGCAAAAATTGATAAATGTCACTTTTTAGCACTTTTAGTCGCGTTTTTCGACCTGTTACTGTATGAAATGTAATCATTTTATATTTTTATCTGATAGACAATTTTCCAATCTTTCATAATCAACCATTCGTTGGCAGCTATCTCTTTTAGTTTAAGGGATATTAATTTTTGAAAATCATCGAAAAAAAGTATCAAGCACCCCCCTTGGCAATTTTTTTCTTAAGACTTAAAATTTATTCTCTCAGATTTCCGTTTTAACTATCCTATTTCCCTGTATCGAAATTTATTGCGAGAAAATTCCGTAACGCGAGTTATAATGATAGTTGTGTGTATACGCATATACGCAATAGTACTCGTTGCGCTAGGAATTTGTTTTTTGTTAATATTATAACACACGAACGCGGTCTTAAACTAAGTTCAGATTAATTTTTTTAGTTGCGGAATTTAATTCTTTATTTCCCTGTATCGAAATTTATTGCGAGAAAATTCCGTAACGCGAGTTATAATGATAGTTGTGTGTATACGCATATACGCAATAGTACTCGTTGCGCTAGGAATTTGTTTTTTGTTAATATTATAACACGCGAACGCGGTCTTAAACTAAGTTCGGATTGATTTTCTTAGATGCGGAATTTAATTCTTTATTTCCCTGTATCGAAATTTATTGCGAGAAAATTCCGTATCACGAGTTATAGTGATAGTTGTGTGTATACGCATATACGCAATAGTACTCGTAGTTTCGTTTGTATAACGGTCGAACCGAATGCCGAAATTAACAACTGATGTAATGACTTATTATATTTCATTTTATTTTAGTGCACTTCAGAAATGTGCTATTTCAATTCTACACGCATATTGGGGTTTGTGTATAAACAAGTTTTTATATCGCTATAAACGTGCGCAATGCCTCTCATGCTACGAATGTTCGACCGCTTCAGTCTGTTCTTACCTGCACGCGGCTCGGCATCATTCTTTCATTCATTCCGATTACATTGCATTTTATTATTGATTAAAAATGAGCATTACTTACTGCACCTAATGACAACAGACATGTAGATTGTTTTGCTAAGGATGATTTACGCGTAAAATGATTATTAAACTGGTGTTTCCATGTGCGTGTCGGCTATTGGATTATTTCGATATTGAGAATTGGAATTAGAAATATGTATCCTATTCGTAATTTTAAGTAAGTGTAATTAACGACTGTCCTTGGCAGGATATTCCGGGAAAATTGTGTGTTAAAATAGTACAGGTTCATTATCCCTCAAAACAAATTTAAATAAGTGTGCATCATAGTGCGAGTTCTCACACACGTGTTGATATTTTGTTTCAGTACTTTCTATGATTACCTGATGCACTGGTAAGTTTGTAAACGTTATTACATTATAGTTTCATATTTATCTAAAATTGCATGTAACGTGAATACCGTAACAACACAGAATTGATGCGTGCCGTCGGATGCGACTTGGATCTACCCGCAGAGTATGGTCATGTCAATCATCGGTTTAATAACGTGAAATTTTCCTTGCTTGCATTTTTATTTTTATTTCATAAATCTGCCGGCTCTTAAACGTATTTTCGTAGTTTGGCAATTGATTATTGAGAGTAATATATTTGTAAAATATTTGTAATATATTTGTAAAATGTAGCAATTTTCTTCTTGTATCACCCTATGTTCTACTTTACCTTGCGTTCTAGTGTAAAACTGACTAAATTTGTCGTTTTTGGGTCGTTTTCTTCTTAAACTTAGTATTTTATTTTAAAATTTAGGAATTTCCTGTTTGTATCACCCTGTATGTTTGTTTTTCTTGATTTCCTATTATAAATTTTCTAAATTTGTATTCCCGACTATTTTCTTTTTTGTACTATTGATTTTCTTTTTGTGATGTAGTAATGTCCTTTTTGTAGCACCCTGTATATTTGTTTTTCTTGTTGTCCGTGAAAATTTAGCTTTAGTTGTTGTTTTAGGTTTTTCTTCTTTGCACTTTAAATTTTCTATTTGTAACACCCTGTATATTTGTTCCCATTTTCACTCACGTAAAAAATGGTCAATTTCCTAATTTCTTTATCCCGGCAGTACTTTGTGAAGTGTAACTTGCTTGCATGTGCGCGGCTATGCAGGTCGTAAGTCCTGTTTCAATATGGCAACATGTATTCTGTTGACTTGTAAAATATAAACTTGTATTCTATTGTTAATAAATAAATAGTAAGATATATTGACTTCTTTGATTTGTGTACCTCTTCTATCATTTCAGGAACAGATCTCTTAAAGAATTCCCTCTCTCAGAGGATGATCCCCACTATAAAAATTGTTAAGGTATCCTGTGTGATTTGTGTGCTCCTTCTTTCATTTCAGCAACAGGTCAGAACTTGTAAGTATATTTTTAAGTGTCACCTCTCTTGAGGCGACTTAAAACTTAGAAATATTTTTACAAGACCTTATAAGGATTGTCCTTATAAGGAGTTCCCTCTCTCTGGGGATGATCCCCCACCATAAAAATTGTTAATATGCCTGATAATTTCGGGGATGAAGCGCAGAGACATCGTAGCTGTAGGTTGGGCCGGGAGCAATGGACGGATCGAAGCAGTGGTGACTGTGACTGTCTTATAACGACACGTGCCAAAAATTTAAAAATCTCATCCTCCCCTGTTCTCTTTCTTCTATCTCCTCTCCTCTTCTCTACTCTACTCTCTGTTCTCTTCCTTCTATCTTCTCCCATTCTCTACTACTCCTTCTTCTTCTTTTTCTATTTCTCTGTTCTCCGTTTCTCTCCACTTGCTTTCTTATTTCTTCTCATATTGCCTTCACTTGTATTTCAAGTTCACTTATATTTCGTTGCAATTCATATATGCAACCCAAATTACACCTGACATTTTTATATTTGAGAAAAATGCCTTCCATACCTGAGATTCGATCCGTGTCTGCTAGCATGCCAGCAGGTGCACGTCTCCACTTGACCACCGAGTGTTTTTATTGTTGTTATTTGATTCTTCTATTTATGTTTCTACTTTTATCATGTTTTTAAAAACAACAACACAATTCGAGGAACAGTTAGTTATCTTACATCCGCTACTCACACATAATACTTATATGCCATATTAATTAAAACTGAAAACGACAAAGAGGATACCACAAAGAAATATGAATGAGATTATAATTGTACATTGTGTTTTATTTAAAAATAGATACATGACAATTACAAAATATCAACAGCTAACAATTTCTGCCGCAGTAAAGATTCAATCCGGATTTCACGAAGCCGCACATCACGCGTGCACAATCCAAAAAGCATTCAAAATTATTACGTAACAACGCGAAAATAAATTAAGGAACTCAAGAATACTGAAGAAAATCTAAAAAACTACTACTACTACTAAAAAAACTACAATTCCTAGCGCAATGAGTATTACGGCGCAAAAATGCTACCCCGTGTTTGTAATTTGCAAAATTAATATCCCTCAAATGGAATAATCAATTTAATATAAACCGTCTTAACTTTCCGCGAAAAAAATTAATTACACACAGGGGCGTAGCTACCGCCGTATTTGCCGTATCAATTATACGGGGCCCCCAAAATGTGTAAGGAAAAACCTTTACCTCCATATAAGCCTCCAAAAAAAAATTTATACGGGGCCCCGACAAGGCACGCTACGCCGCTGATTACACACCTACCAGTGCAATGATGAAGTGATTTTAGATCCTGGAATATATCTTATCCACTGAAAACTCGTGCAAAAATTAACAGACACTTATTTCTTACTGAAGAACACTCTAACCGCTGCTGACTAAAAGAATACACGACGATTAATTGAATAATTGAAGTCAGAAACCGCGTAGCTAGTTGTGAGATGCGCTCGCGGACCACGCGGTGAAACGACTGCCGTGTGCGCTGCGCGTTGCCAGGTATAAACCAGGTACGTCGCGATAATACACGTCAGTTGAGTTGTTTATAAACAAGCGTAGTGCTAAACACGTACTTGCAAAGAAAGACGAAAGTAAAAATTTACAATATTGAAATAACACACGTACACAAAATCTACTTTTACTATTTCTCGGCATAAGAAAAGAATATGTTGGTTTTGGGATGCAAGAATTTGCAACAGATGCAACAAGAATTTGTAATTTACCAATACAAATAAATAATTTATTGTTTTCTAATTCTCTTCGTATAAGTTAACTGTATACTTTAGTTAATTTAATAATTGATGTTCACAACATCGCGACTAATTTAAATACTCTCTATAAAATAAAGTATTAAAATCTGAGGTATTAGAATCGGAAAAATAAAGAGTGAAAAAAAATTCATAACAAAAAAATACAAGAAGCGGTACGGCCCTATACTCGAATATTTTATATTTTATGAATACAACTCACTACCGCTACCTTCGAACGGTGCCCTGAACACAAGTCACTTCTACCGTCACCCCCTACGGTGCCCTGAACACGAGTCACTTCTACTGCTGCCTTTGTAGGGTGCCCTGAACGCGAGTCACTTCTACCTTCATCCCCTATGGTGCCCTGAACACGAGTCACTTCTACCGCTACCTTCGTAGGGTGCTCTAAACACGAGTCACTTCTACCGTCACTCCCTATGGTGCCATGAACACGAGTCGCTTCTACCGCTACCTTCGTAGGGTGCCCTGAACACGAGTCACTTCGACCGTCACCATCAGTCTCGCAATGATCAGATAAAAGTGACTTACTTAAGCACATCTCAAGTAGGTTTCCGATTGATCTAGCGACCGACCACGTCCCACAATAACCGAAATATTTGATTTGATATATAAACATCAAAAGCAAGCAAAAAAAACATTTATGCACATTAAACGCACAATTACTTATTAAGAAAACACTACAGATGCATATTAAGTCTGATAAAACAAAACGCGTTGCGCGATATACTTCTGGATAAGCCAGAGACAGGCACGAAACTAGCCATCAATTGAGCATGCCGAAAATACGCACGCAAGAATGCGACAGTTCAAATAAGACTCTATGCCTGCTGCGTAATCCCGGCAAGTAAAAGCAAAGCCAGCGCGTCGATGCCACGCGACCTTGTACACGAATTGCAATTGACACGGTACCTGTGATAAGAACTAAATTAAAATGTGCTGCACGCGACAGCCCGACGAGAATCCTACGCATAGCATCTCGCACAGCGAATGCGAAGAGAAAGTGGTTTATACAAAACGCTGATATGATTCGAAACGCAAACAATTCTATTTTATGAATTTTAGTTCTTGCTAGTGAACTAAAATTTAAATCATGAAATTATGATTTATGATTTGAGTTTTATGGAAGCAAAGATTTCCGCAAAAGATATCAATTTTCTAATTGTAAGAAATCAGGAAAACAGATACTATGAATGATAAAAAATTTACTTACCAGTGTATCGAACACCGCAAATCAAATGTGAGTAGGTACTGAAATAAAGAAGAAACAAAACATTAGTTACACAATTTCGTACAATGAGTTCCGGCGGAATCCACAGTTTACCATAAATTTCGCCTTGTTCTCCATAATTATTTAAATTAGTATTCGTACCAGGTAACACATTGAGCCAACGAGTTTAGCAGAAGTCAAAAATGATGCGCACAAGTCCAAAATATCATTTATAATCACACACAAAGTCTGCCGGCCGGCGTCCGACGGCAACCGATCAGAAATCCATGCGAAAATGTAATAATCACACCAAATATTGAATTCCGAAGATTACATACGCGATAAACATTTACCGAATGACCAAACACGGCAATTAACACTAAACTCAATAAAATATAACGCGACATGCTGAATTTACAACGAGAAACACGAATACTCGACGCAGTATTCTTATCTGTCGCCCGAAGTAAGAGCTGCTTGCCGGCATCACAACTGTGCACGTCGACTTTCACTCGCAGGAATATTTCTAGTTAAAACATGCATCGTTGCGCTACCTGAGAATACTTTATTGTACCTCCAGCAAATACAAAGCGTTTCAAAAACTGTGGCGTACATATGAGGCAGTGAGCGATTGCTAATGTATCAGTGAGTGGTCACGCACTTAAGTGGCCGTGTCCGTGTATCACACGTACACGAGAGTGCGCATGCATCACCCTATCTAAACAAATAGCAATTTTTACACATAACTCAAAACTTCAAATATAGAAGTCAATATGATATACTTATTCAAAATAAATTAATCTAAATCTGTAATTTTAATGTAAACGTTCATCAATTTAGCAATAAATAAACATTATATACTGCATAAATAGTCAATTAAATATATATAGGTATATATTTATGTGAAAATGAAAAGTGATTGATTTACAATAATTTACTTGTTTCCTCACGAGGACATCTTCAGTAACTTTATGTATCGTATTTTTTATATACAACTTCTAAGGCGCACTTAACACAAACACTTTTGTAAAGGTTATTTCATGCACTATATCTGTGTAAATCAGTAAAATATTGCTTATTTCTATTACAGTGCAACGGTGATACATTTATAACACTGCACACTCGAAACTTGAAATAAATAATTATATAAGTTATTACATTAATTTAATAAAAACAAATGTTATACCTTTATGTTTGATGTACTATACTTCGTGTACTATATGTTAGGTTTAATTGTGTCAAGGCTTAGTTAACGCATTCGTAGTGTGTAAAGAGCCCTTTACACTTTATAAAACACGTTAAATGTCGGTGAAGTTTTATTTATTCGACCTATCCGACGGTCGAAAGAACATCACTGTCGCTTTACCTCTGCGTATGTACTCCGCCGCACATCACTCGCGCACAATCTCCAATTATTGTGAAGAAAACGTGCGTGCAGATCACCTGACGACAAAACTGAGACTAACGTGGTACACAAGGCAACCGCGTGGCGACCGCACAAAAATTGCACGAGATAAGAAAACTTGTTTGTAAATACTGATACTTTCAGTGTGGTAGTGCAGAACATGACAAAAATTGTGCTCGTTTAATTACGATTAATCTCTGAATCGTAAACTAGTAACACAATTACAGATTAAGACCCTATTAGCATATAAAAACCATTTTTTTGTTCATTAAAATTCAAATAGGGCCTAAAGGGTCAATGGTGGGAAAATAATTACTTACATAAATATAACTTAAATACAACTAAGAATAAATGATATAACAAAATCTGAAAACAGTATTTAAAAAATCCAATTATTTTTTGAAATTATAGGATCATTTGCTGAATAATATTTCGTCATAAAAAAAGGTAAAAGATTTCTCTTTATTATTTTTTCATTTTATGGCATTTCTAGGGGGCTAAACTAATTTTTCTAATTCACCGCTAGCATCGGTGAGTGTGAGTTGAAAATACTTAATAAATACCTATATTTACCTGGTATAGGGAGGCTAAACAATTTCTTTGGCCAAGATTGCCCAGTTTCCTGAATTAGAATGCTGAAAACGTACAATCGCTAAGAAACCAAACATAACAAAGCACACTTGATCTAACACAATACAAACACCAAAGATTATATGTAAAAATTAAAGCGAAATATATATAATTATATTCCCGCGTGACGAACATCTAACAAGACAGTGCAAGGCATGTATTTAATTAATCTACAGCGCGTAGGTAACGATGCAGAAAAGTGATTTGCATTCAAATGACAAAAATAACTATCCGAGCGCCATCTTATGGTGGGGTCTCCAACTAGAAAGTAAATTGTACACTAACTTACCGACGGTATCAATTCAATTGCTCGCAGTTTTCTTCCAATGAAAATACTAACTTAAACTTGTTTTCTTCAAAGTTTCAAAAATAATTTAAGTTAATAAATTAAAGTCCATTAAAACTATTTAGAATACTAACAAGGATAACGTATAACGTTTCAATAGAAATTAGCAACATTCAAATTACAACTGCAAATTTCATATAGGCATAACCAAAACATTATTCAAACGTTCTAAAATGTGTGCAAGCAATTGAGTGGATCTTTTTTTATTAAATTTTTATGTTTATGCACAATATGATTAACTTAACGCTTTCCTCCCACTCGTGGTGCAGCCTTTGCGACGTTCTTGGCTGCCTTCGTCTTAGGAGCGGCCTTGGCCTTGGTGGCCGCCGCCGGCTTCTTCGCAACCTTCGTCGATTTCTTTTGCTCCTTGGCGGCGCGAATAGCCTGTTCACGTTGTGCCTTCCTTACCTCAGGGCGCTGGTTGCGCTTGGCGAGGATATCATTCAGCGAAGCACCGACAATAGCGCGTTGGAACTTTTGCGTGCGACGTGTGCGCTTTTTCTGCGCCTCCTCTTCTTGGCCCTTCTTGTGCTTACGTCTGTAGAGCACGGTCCACGTAACTTTACGTGGATTCCTCTTCATTAAGTGTGCAGCCTCACACTTAGAGCTGAGGAATGTGTACGACTAAAAATAAAAACACATTAATCTTATGTTTTTTGACTAACATATGCATTGAAATTAAAAAAGTTAATGATTGAAAGATGCAATATTATATCAAATTTAAATTTTCTAATATTTTCTACAACTAACGCTTAAAAGAGAAGCGGACTCATGTGTGTAAGTTTTAAGGTTAGCTCTTAAACATTTTGAAATATTACGTTCAGTAGTTGACAAATGTACAAAAGTGTATGCTCTAACAGTAAAATACTGTATACTAAGTGATTAGACTAGTAATTGGAGTAATTTATGCAGAAATAGTAGTAATAAACTTGTATTTACCTTTCCGTCAATCTTGACCAGGGTCTTGCCATGGCCAGGATAAATTTTGTATCCGCTGTACGCGCAAAGTCCGATCCTAAAAATAACACCACAATTAGATAAATCATCGTACACTGCATCGATTAAAACAATATTTCATTTATGAAATGCACTGATTATTGAAATATTTAAGGATTTATTTGAGCTGTAAACAAATACGTACTTCATCTTGACAGATTACGGAAATAGAAGACTGAAAACAACTCGCCAAGAGTCCGCCAGGGGCGCTGATTATTTACAACGTTGCCAAGTCAATTCACATGCACGCAAAGTTTGAAAAGCACAAACTAAAAATTTATTTGAATGTGTGAGCGAATTTATCAGTAAATAACATCAAAATTCACTGTCTGTCACTGTAATCACTTAAATTCGGTTGACTTCTGCACATTTCAAGCGGTGCTGTTTCACTCATTAATAAATTTCGATCATCGTCAACACGCTGCGCAATCATTTCAAGCGGCATTGCTACTTCAGTTGGACGATTCTTTAACTTTTCCTCATCTGTGTCAGTTACTTCACTTTTAATTCCGATATCTCCACCCTCACCAGGAAATTTCCACTCGGAGCACATCACTTGCAAAGGTTGCAGTATCTGAACGCTTTGCTTCACTCTCAACAGCTCCAAATTACACATATTCTCAACTTCAAGAAGTCTTCTCTTGTAGTTTGCCATTGCAATTTGCTTCTGAAGATTTTGACGATTCTCGTAATGATTTTGTAGCATGGTATCTGAATATTTCGACATGATTTCAGAATCTAAGCCACCATTACTACTCATATTCATTACAGAATTAAATGGTGAACTATTTGCATCCGTGTAATAGTAACCCATTTCAGCAGCACGATTAATGTAGTCATTTTCACGACGTTCTTCCATCTCACGTTTCCATATTTCACGCTCCTCGTGCAATTGCCTCTTCAGGATTTGAATTGTATCACGTAAAAGTAAAATTCGAGTCTGCAAATGGCGATTGTATTCATCGTTTGATTCACAAGTAATAATATCACTAAATTGTGAGTTGGATGCGATCGAAGCTGTATCCTGCTTATTATCGATGGAATCATCAAATGTTTCTTCTAAAGTTGTTGTAGATGGTAAAGATTTCTCCATTTTTGATAGAATTAAATAAATAAATATTGTATGCTTGTCGTTTTTGTAACTATTTTAAAATAAGCAAAGCAATTTTGATTTTTTGCTTGACAGTTGCTTCAATAAAAGCGTAAACTTGGCAACGTGTTTGAAAAGTTATGTTTTGGTGACGTTTTGACGCATGCGCAATACGCACCTACTATACGCCAGCCCTGTCATCTGCACTGACGTGGATTGTGGATGCGGCCAATGAATTATTTAAACTCAAAATAACAAACACGGTTTCTTTCGCTCCACCACACCTCGACTGAATTAAAACTTAAACGCAGCAACCATGGACGTAGCTTCGCTCTTCGACGATGTGAAGCGAATGAACAAACGGCAGGTACAGAAAAACAATCAAACATTAATCACGCTTTAAGGTTACGCTTATTAAACATGCACAAAACGGCGCTTTACAAACCGGCAAAACTTAAATCATAAACATGTTTCTAGTTCCTGTATCAAATGCTGAGTTTTGGCATGATAGTCACCTCAGCATTGATGATCTGGAAAGGCTTGATGGTAGTGACAGGCTCAGAGAGTCCCATTGTGGTGGTGCTGTCAGGCAGTATGGAGCCCGCTTTCCATCGCGGCGATCTTCTCTTCCTCACCAACTACCCCGAGGAGCCGGTGCGTGTTGGCGAAATTGTTGTGTTCAAAGTTGAGGGCAGAGATATTCCAATTGTGCATAGGGTGTTAAAGTTACATGAAAAGTAAGTGGAAAACTCAGAAATTAGAAACATAACAATCAATTTCAATGGAAATTCTTGTAGGAATAATGGAACAGTCAAGTTCTTGACAAAAGGTGATAACAACAGTGTTGATGACAGGGGTTTGTATGCCCCAGGGCAGCTGTGGCTCACTAAGAAGGATGTTGTTGGTAGAGCAAGAGGTTTTCTTCCATATGTGGGCATGGTTACAATTTTAATGAATGAATATCCCAAGTTTAAGGTAAAATATAACAATTTCTTTTGATTCTATTATGAAATAACCCTTTTAATGCAACTTTCTCTTGTAAATTATTAAATTTTTAAAATTTATATCTACTTCTATGTTATCTTTGCTAAATTATCATACTTTGTGCTTTGGTGACTTAAATTTGTTCTAAAAATGCTGATAAAAATTCATATTTCTGTTTCAGTATGCTGTTTTAACATGTCTCGGCATTTACGTCCTGATACATCGTGAATAAACTTGAGATACAAGTGGTTAATTAAATATAAGTTAATTGAGTATAAAAAAAAGAAGCGAATATCAATAAATTGAGTTTATTTCCTACCCCTCTTCGTAACTCGTCCGCTGGTGGTCTTGTTGCGTGCGCTCGCAGCCGATTTTTTCTTTCCTGCAATGGCTTTCTTCTGTTTTGGATTGCAGTACTTCTCCTCTAGTCGTGCCATGGTATCAGCGAAATTATCCATTCGTGCGGCTCTTCCTTTCTCGAATTCCTCGGCAAGTTTCGCAGCTTCTTCGTCAGTAATTTTGTAACTCTCCTCGCGCTTCTTACGCCGCAACTTCTTTGCTTTTGGCTCATTAAAGAAGCCATCATACTCCTCCACTTCACCTTCATCTATCAAGTTCCTCACAATGTTCATTATCCTCTCTTCATTTGCACAATCCAAGAATGGGATTCTATTGTGCATTTCAGTCATGTTACCCTTTGTTGAAACATAAGCTTTCTTGATATCTCTTAACTCAGACTCAGAGTTGAGGTAATCTGCTTTATACTTGTCGATGACATCTACGGTGATATCACGGAACATGGATTTGTAGAGATTCAACCATTCGCTGACGCCGTCACTAAACTCGTCGTCGAAAGTACCGGATTCATCATAAACACTGCGCTTTTCTTTGTCGCTAAGCACAGAGTGAATCTTTGAGATTATCTTGAATTTTTCGGTCGCATCTAGCTTCTGATGTTCGGGCACTCGGTCGGGATGCACGAGTAAAGATGCTTTATGATATCCCTTTTTAACTAAACAACAGAATCATTGTTTTAAACTTGAAATCATAAAAAAACTTAGGTTAACTATTGCAAAATGTTATTCTTACTTTGAGCGGGAGTGGCAGACCGTTCAATCTGCAGGATTTCATAGAAATCCTTAGTATCAAAATACTGGACGCACTTTTCATAGAAAGTCATTGTAAATTTAGAAAATACACGGCTGTGAGTCGAAAATTATGACTGTTGCTTTGGCGGCAATTTAACTGTGTGAAACCGTCAGTCAAACAAAACCCTCTGACGGCAAGTACAAGAACTACAAAACACGAAGTTACCCGAACGTTTCGAAGCGCTACCAACTTAAATTTAAAAAAGTCACCATACTCGATAGGCAACTTCTTATACACATTTTATACAAAACGCATCGATTTCGTATATAAGGAAAAGAAAACTCTAGCTAGAGAAAAGATACTCGAAGTGATAGTCGTGATAACTGTAAATATGATTGAAGTATGAAAACGTGCCCGCGAGTCGCATTTGCATAAACAGCGAAAATTCGAAACGCGGAATGAGTAATATGAAAGTCTTCATCTTCAATAAAAGCGCATTTGCATATTCGACTAGTATAATCAGGCGGATAAATGCGAAAATTATGCGGCGCACACGTGGAATTTCTTCTTTCTCGGTGCAATTCACGCCGCTAAAGTTTAATAAGCTTTGTTCCGTTGAACCACGCATAACATTGATAGATATTCAATAAATATCTGATAGATAAACTAACGGTTCAAAATTATTTACTGATTAAGCACAAAATGCGCGCGCGTACGAGATTTCGATTGTTAGCAGTAAAATCGGGAAAAAACGAAGCGCGTCAGAGCTGATCAATCCTAACGGAACGCAAATACTTTCCGAAGGTGCATGTTTAGTCAATGGCTCGACGTCGGCATCGATGACCATCTCGGAAGAATTTCGGCGCGGCGGTAGAAATTGGTAGAACGTTGAAATTCAATCTTTTTCGGAGTGTCAGTGCGCGTTTTCACCTCGCCTCGTAAAAAAATGCACACCACAACATCGAAGGCCGTGTCGCTGTGAACGCACGATGTACTGTAACAAATACGAAGAGCCGATGGCGATAAGAGCCACACGATGAACATATCGATTTCGTCCGGCGTCGCCCGCCAGGCGAATGTGTTTGCCCACGGACGAGTGGTATCTGTGTCGAAACTCATCACGGTCACTTTTCACCGAAAGCTCATCAGGTGCATCTCGTCAAGATCTTCAATCTTCACAGTTTCACACAAAGGAAACGCAACTTTTGCATCCACACAATTTTTCCTTCATAACTCCATAATGACTCATACTATCTTATCAAATTTGATATCAACAGAAAGCTTATTTAAATACCTACAAAATGATATGATTTTTAGAACATTGCGAATTTTTATTGTTGAGTTATGAAGAATTTTGTAAAAAAAATCGCCAAAATTTCACAATATATTACGCTTGCTTCTCGTTACTTGTCCGTACACAATTTGAAAGTGCGTTCGATGCGGTTTTCTCCGTATGTGTATGTGTTGCGCGTTGTTTTTTTTTTGCTTGTAAATTTTATTCGCGGCGAAAAGAAGAGCGAGAGCGGTGCGGACGCACGGGAGTGAGAATAGGTAGCGCAACAAGTCGCGCGAGCAGGAGGCAGAGAGGAGGCAGCGCGCAGAAGGCGAAGAAGGCTTCGGTTCCCACGGGCCAGGCCGGGGCCGCGCCGACCCGACGTTTCGAAAGGAATGTCGCTGCTCGAAACTAGCCGCAAAGCTGCTCCAGCTAGCTGCAACATTGCCGCGAAGATCACGTACAGGTACACGTACACCGGAGGCAGAAAGTTTTTCGGGAAATCCAACGAAATCCGCCAACAGAATCCTGCAAACAATTAAATCATAAATTCTGCATGAAATTAGCTATCGATTAATACAATTTTCATACTTCTAGTGTTAATATGTCATGAGTTATTGAACTTTTAAAAGTTAAGTCATGTTTTAAGTCATGTTTAAGAAAATACTTTGTTGCGGGTATAAAATGCAAAAAGTGTGAGGCAATAGAAGAGAAAAAGATGTCGGTGAGAACAGCAGGTTCTTTGTCTATCCGAGCAGCTAGATAATTGACAAATTGGAAGCTGATTAGCAAGCCGGCACATTAACGCTATCGTGACGCGGCGGACGTCTCACAGCGCGTCAGTAATGCCGTGTTAACGCGCTGCTGCGTGTGGTCCGGTGCGCGTGCGCTCGTTACTTAGCACTCTCCGGGCGCGCAGTGGCAGTGTCGATGCTGCTTCGCCGGCGAGCTTTCGGCCGGTGGCGCTGGCGGTGCCGCCAGTGGTGGGAGATGCGCGTGCCGCGCTTTGTGTGGTCCGCGCACGCCGCGCGCATCCACTCCGGCCGCCTTCGGTAGCGCACGGCGTCGCTCGGCGCTCGCCGCTGCCATTCCGAGCGCGAGCTTGCGCGAGCTTAAACGCTTCTCGGTCTCGCGCGGCGCGTGCCACTGTATGTGTGGTCCCCCCGACCAGCGCTCAGCGCCTCTTTTATTATAAATGCGACGTTTACATGTCGATTTCGACGCGTTCGACATCAACACTTGTTCTCACCAGCCTTATTGTCTCTTTATCTCGACACTATAGTATATAAAATGTATGCATGTATGCGATTAAAGTTTAAAACATCATAAACACGCATAAAAAACTTTAAGAAAATTTTTTTACTAAAAAAACTAAATATTTGAAATTTTTTTTTAGTCAAAAAATATTTTCTCGCGTCGGTGCACATCTTACACCTACGACCCTCGTGTTTTTTTGTCATTGTTGTTTGCTCTATCACTGTCTGGTTATCTTTGGAAGTCCACTGTTTAAACTATGCCTCCAGTGACCGGGTGACCGCAAACAGCGGCTCTAAAAGGGCCGCGGCGATGGCGTCGATAACCGAAAAGAACAATCGAAGCCCGTGCACAATAACTCACGGCTCACGGCACCGACACAAGCGCACGCCGAAAATTTTAACGATCCCGAAGACATAAAAAAGTAAAAGCATGCGACACACAATACGAAAAAAGCAAAAAAAAAACATTCAAATTCCTTTCGGTACCTACTATATTTTGAAATCAAGCGGATGTTAGTTCAAATCGAAGTTTTCGATAATTTAGCAATTTGCGGTCGTTTTATAGTCACTCCATCGTTTGATGTTGATGCGATGTCCTTTCAACTCTCAAATTTATGGTGATTTGCGCGTTTTTGAAGCGCATAAAATCGTGTTAAAGTTGTAAAAATCACCAAAAACGTAGAATGATTCATTTTTATTTTTAACCGCAGCCGATGTGTCTGCTTCTGTGCGCGGATTTGCGGATTCATCCGGGTTAAAGGACGAAATCAATGAATCAAGCTAAAAGAATGCTCTATTTATGTGCATTAAAAAAGCATCGCGATGTTTTTCGTGCTTTTTTGATGTCGCGCGCTGCGCGAAAAAGAAGTTTACGGCCGCGGTAATTGGATATTATGTTCGTGTAAACTTGCGAGCGGAATGCGCCACGGAATGCGCGCTCAGCCGCGCTCGCGAAACGAGATGCCGGCCGAGATCAACTCTCGCGAACCTGAAAGCTCAAAGCTTCAGAGTCGACATCGTCACATCATCACACAACACTCGACACATCAAAAATGATGCAACGTAAATTGAATAATGAACAAAAACCCAACTTTTTTTGGTTAAATTTCGTAATTTATGCAAATACAAAAAAAAAAAACGAGAATTTCGAGCTTTTGACGTTAAAGAATTTCATAACTCTTGAGATAAATAATTTTTAAAGTAAATTTTTAGTTGTAAAATAAAAGTAAAAAAAAACATCAACAAGAGCTTTCATTAAGTAAAAGCTGCGCTCGGTGCGTTACTGGTTTGTTTGTATTTATGGAGTGTGAGAAATGAATGCGCTTATATTATAGTTATCGAAGTGGTATATACACCTACTTAATATTGTCCGAAACTGTAAAGAAGTAAAGAAGTTAAAGCAGTTAAAGGAGTTGAAGGAGTAAAAGATGAAAACGAGTCGCTCAAGAAACCCGAACGCGCAGCACACGGACGGACTCTTCAGTTCTCGCAGTCGTCCGTCCGCACGCCTCGCGAGTCTCCGCGGTTGCTGCTCCTCGACAAACAACAAGCTCGCGCACGGCGTGCGTTTCGAATGTCTCCGCGGAGGAGAAGACGAAGAAGAAGAAGAAGAAGAAGCAGAAGAAGCCGAGTAGTTAAGTGCCGAGACACTAATGCATGAATGAAATTAAATACTTTCGAGATAGTTACCATTCTTCTTCGGCCACGCTGCGGCTGCCACTGACTGCCACGACGGTGTTTCGACTTCAGGCTGCGATTCTTCATCTTATCTTGTTCTTTGCGAGGCCAGAGAAAACATTTCTTTTACCTACACATTTATTTAGAAATTAATTAAGCTACACTATAAATAATACGGAAATGAGTGTTGTAAGCACAAAAAACATGGATTTTTTGTTTATTTTTGAAATAAATCAAATAATTTTAAGATTAAAATTACTTAAACTATATAAAAATGTTGGGGTATTAATTGTATTTTAATAAATGATTATTTTCATTGATTAAAATTGGTGTAAACCATAAATATTTGTGTTTTTATCTGGAGACTACAATGCGCGAAAGACGGTAACCCAAAGCAAATAAATTTTCATTTTTTAAACAAAACTTACATTTTAAGCCGAAAATAAATGATTTTAACGTTAATTGATTCTGAATTAGTTGAATTTTAATTGTAATTGCATTCCAGCTGATTAAACTAAGCAAAACAAGTGAAATTTGATATTTTTAGCTTGAAATTTGAAAATAATTCGTAAAAAAATAGAAAAAAAAAATTTCTTCTAAAACCTAGTCTTATTATTACCTTCCAAATGATGTACCGACGTTTTTTTCCCTTATTTTACTGCAGAAACCTGAAAACAAAAAGATTTATTATTTCTAACTGCGGGAATACCGGAATGCGTTCGCGGTGAGAGCCCGCTGAAACAGTAAACGCTTAAAATTAAACCCGTGTTCGATAATAAATCAGTCTGAATTTATGGCCGGGGCTGCTGCGCGCGAGGGTTGAAATTGGAAATTTTTACGCGCGCATTGTCTTGACAAATTGCCCATATAGGTAAACAGCGCCGCATCAGATAAAACAAAACGCCTCTCTTGTGCGTGGCTGCGTGCGTGCGTGCGTGCGAAGAGAAAGAAGAGAAAGAGCGCTCGCCGGAATCTAAGACTCTCCGCTAACGAAGGAAACGTGTAAAAGTGCGCGGCGACACGCCGAAGAGAGGAGTGCGCTCACCAGCACACACGATGATGATCATCATCGCTATCATCGTGATGGCGAGATGTCGAGCCGGCGCGTTCGCATAATAGCATACCACACCGTTTACCCCCAATGCGCATACAATGTGTCCGCATAAATCAAAATCATTCAAATGCAATTTAAATCAATTTGTATTAGGTGAGTGGTTGTGAGGACACCCGGTGGATGTTCTCGTGTTGTGGCAGGAATAAAAGCTTGTTTTGGCTGGCTGGGTTGTGTGGTTGGTTGGTTGGTTGGGTGCCTAAAACTATTAACCGAAAACGACTTTTGCTTGTCGATGTCCGGCGATAAATGCGCACACGGCCGCGCTGCGCTTCTTCGTGGCAGCGCCGTGGCCCTTCATCGCCCGCCCGACAAGGACGCCCGGAACCCGCGGCGACCCGGAGGAGGCCGGGGCGGACGAAAAAATCTCGCCGCGCGCGGCAGCGCTGCGACGCGCACACAAACGAATGCAAACAAGACAAGACAAGAAATAACAAATGCCGGCGCATCACCATTAGCATTAACTGTCTCGGGCTACACGTCCACAGGGTGTTACGGTAAAAACCCTCGGAAAATAAAAAAATAACTCGCAATATTATTATATTAATCTTAATTAAATATAAAAATTAAGATAAATTGATAAACTTTTAGGAAGTTTATAAATTTTTATCGACGTAAAAGTGAATTTTAGATTGTTTAGTTCTTTGCCTGTGTGGTCGGACGGCGTGAACGCGGCGCGCTCCTCATTGACAACTTGCGGTCACAACAAAACGCACCCGACGGCCCCGACGGCTATCAATCACCTCGGCGAACGGTTAATGCGCACTAAAGAGACACCGATACATTCATCGCCAGAGAGAGACGGAGTGGAAGCGCCAAAGAGCGTCCGGACGGTGGAAATTTATTGAATGCGTTTTGAATTAGTTAGAAATCGATTCCAAGGGGAGACAACACAGTCAACACACATCAATACTCCTTAAAAATCAGAAAAACAAAAAATTCTTCCAAAATAAACAAAAATTTACAAATAAACTTCCGGAAAATTTATTATTTCATATGCTTTGAGATGCGGTACAAGTACCGAACGCAATTTATTTACTTTTCTGTAAACTTCCGTTGCATTTACAACAAAATATTTTTTATTTTTTAAACAAATGTGACCAGAAATAAATGAAATGAAATTTATAGGCCAAGGCAAAACAAAATCAGCATGCGGGCTGTCTTTACGCCCTTTGTCACCACGCCGCGCTGCAAATTCAAGGGTAGAAATTGCAGCGCACACCGTCGGTCCCTTTATCAGCGCCCAGCATTCTCTGTCTATTGATAGATAAATAGATAAATGGGATTTTTATTTGTGTTTGTTTGCGCGTACCTTCAAAGCACGCCACACACGGTGACCGCCCCGCCGAAAAGTCACCCAGAGTCTTCTCTTCTACCTATACTGCATTCACAAAATTCAAGTCTCAGCAAAAGCACAGCACAACGGAAGAGAGCGTAAACATTTTCGTCGCTACAAGATGGAAAAATCAAACATAACCGCGCCACAAACACACATAGACATTACACACGCACAAACGGTTGGAAATGTAAGCAGCGCAAGAAAGGAAACAAGCGACAACAAATCGAATATGCGCACGCTGAATAGTTTTGAATACACTCTCGGCGCGCTCTCGGCGCTGCAAAGTTAAAGGCACAACAATGCAACAGTGCAAACACACGAGCCGCTTTGCTTTATTTCTTGACTTTCCTTTCAAAACGCCCCACAACAACCCCGAGGAGTTGCTCATTCTTCAGCCGGCATGCACACAATGCGAAACAATCTGTTCATGGACCCAAATATTTATCAACTGCGAGGAATGCCATCAAATAAGTCTCAAAGCAATATTAATGAAACACACGAATGGGAAAACCACAATATCATAAATTTTGGGTGGAAATAAAATGCGCTGGTAATGATGAGAGGCGGAGGTTTATACAACATCCGCAATAAAAAGAAATTGCTCCGAAAGGTGTGCGCAGTTCAAACTTCAAGCTGTGAAAAATGCCACGTTCAAGTGGAGATTAACCAGATAGATCACGTTTTCGATGCGTGAGATAAACAAAAACAATTGTGTTGAATTTGATCACAAAAAATACATTTTCAAGATTAAAATACGGAGATAACCGACGTTTTTTCTGTCTTTTTTTCCATGGCCAAGCCAGTACAATACTAATTAGTTCACCGGGCTTGGTTTTAGGTGAGCTTTTGATGATTCCTCCGCTTCGGTGGCTTTTGAAGCTACAAAAACGACATTTATTAAGTGTGTATAATTAGGACGCTTTTTTCATTCACTATAAGATAGTGATACTATTCTACGATCATTAAATTTCAAGTGATGTAATTAATGATAACAATTATTTGTGAAATCACTTGAATGAACAGGTACTTTACATTTTTTTTATTTTCGCGATTACTCTGTATTTATAGTGAGTACAAACGTCATTTTTGGTAGGAATGTGCGCAATAATATTGTTTATCAATTGCGTCACTTTAAACTCGATAAAAATAAGTTTAAACCCAAAATATTGAGCTTTTTCCCTTGGAGACTTCAATGCGTCATACGAAAGTAACCCCGGGAATTAAAAAAAATATGATAAAAGTTGGTTGCAGGTTGATACCGCATGCCTACTTGGAATTTGAAGTCAAGGCGTTAAATTAATAGTGCACCGCGCACCGAATGAAGAAGATACAAAGATATGTGACTCTCTCGCGAGGAGAAGTCTCTAATGTGGAGTCGCCGCGAGTCTTTTTGTTGGTCGCATCTTCGTGCTCGAGAGGTGCCCACGCGCGCCGCGCGCGGTTTTAACAAGCTTGGAAGAGTTAAGAGCGTTAAGAGTTTTCACAGTCGCCGCAGACGAAGACGAAGAAGCAGCGGCAACGTCTTCGGATGCGCGTCCATGTTCGGTCGGGCGTTTATCTCGCGCGCTCGTGCATAAAACACGATGCGGAAATTTGTGTGCGCTGTGTGTGCGCCTTCTGTCCGGCGGCCGTGAAAAAGCTCCGCGGAGAGAGAGCGTGGGAGGCGAGAATAAGCGAAATCATTAATATTAACCTTTTTATTCCGTTTACTAAATAAAAACTCATTTTTTACACGTTTTTTTGCGTTTTGAAAGGGTTTTAAGGATATTTTAGTCCTTTTAAGGATAAAACTAATATATACAGACATAAGTATTCTTTTTATCCGTGTTATAAAGGACTTTAGTTACAATTTAACATTAATTGATCTGCAATTTGCATTTTTTCAAAAATTTCAACAAAATTTTTCGCTCAAAAATTTTTCAAATTCAATTTTTGCAGTTCAGTGAATTATTTCCTAACCAGATTAAAAATAAATAAACTACACAATAAATTCCCTTTCCAATGATATCCTTATCAATGTCCTACGACCTTCCGCCTATGAGTTATTACGTCACAAAGTGGCAAAAATTTTAATAAAACATTTTTATTTAAAAAAATTTTGCTTCCATCGTTGGGAGTTGATTCCAACTCCCCGAGGTAGAGGTATCATTCCGCACCGAATGGCCGAAGACACAAAATTATAGTGCGTGCCGTCGACTCCCACCGAACAAGAAAGAAAAGGCAGCGCGAAGAAGGAAAGTGTAACAACCATCGGCGTCCATCGCGCCGCGTCCGTGGTCGTCGAAATAAATAATTACATCGTACGGTAACCGCTAAGTATATTGATCGTGAAGCGTAAATTTATGGCTATGGGAAAAGCGCCTTTTGTTGCCGCACCGCGCCCGCCGCCTGCTCAACAAGTGGAGGAGAGAAATGAATTGTCGCAACTGCAGCTTAAATTCGAACAAACTGCAAACGTGTTTTTTTTTTGCCTCTGCACGTCGTAAAAATTCACCACTCGCACGAAAAGTTAAAATTAAGCGTCGCTTACAAACAATTATCGCGCCGAGCGCGCACGACACGCACAAATTATTTGCGCTGTGTGTAAAGGGCGCAACAAAAACATCCACAAATGTGAAATGAAGAAGAAAAAAAAAACGCACTGGACGTTCGGACGTGTTTCAAGAGCTTTTGCAGCTCGCTTTTCACGCAGCTATTGAACTTTACCGCGCGCTAAGTGGCTCTTTAAAGGACCCAAAGGGTCTCACGATGGGTCACCGAGAGAAATTCGATAGCCCTGACTTTTCTAAACACCAGTGAATGTACAGTGAATGTACACCAGTGAACCTACCTGTTTGTGTCGGAGGTCAAAAGCTCACATTCTCAAGCCTATTCAAGAAGGGCGCTAACATTCCCACCGAAACTCAACAATTTATTTTGATACCAGAAAAAAGTAAAAGCAGCATTAAAACGGTCTATAAATCTCGAAAACTCAAGAACAATAAAATTCATTGTGAGTAATTGTAATTATGCCTAAAGTGATTCTCGTTTAACGGCTCACAGAGACACAAAAGACAGACAAACGCTGTGAAGAAGACGGCGCGCGGAGAACGTTACTAGGAAATCTTGTAAACTTGTTAATCAACTCGACTCTCGCTGGCGATTATATACACTTTGTAGTGTTTAATTATCGTTAATTACGCGCTTCGTTTGTCGTAATCTATTCTGGTGTGCTGCCGGCTTTGATGCCTTTTTCGGATCCAAGAAACACCAGAAAAATAACCCCGGACAACACATACAAAGTGTCCACATCAAAAAAATTAAAAATTAATCACTCTACGATGCATATTTCCACATTTAAATAAATATAATATTCTGAAACACTCTGTAGATGACGGTAGTGTCTGTTTAGCGAACGCAGGTTCTCGGCTCTTTCATGCTCGCCGTAAACTAATTAACAAACACTCGGCGCGTTGTAGTTCTCCATTTCGTTTCTTGTGCGGTTCTCGCGTTTCTTGCATGCGCCGAAGAACAACCTCACAGGTTGGTGTGTTTCACCTCTCTCCTCTCCAGCCACAACAGCGACGACTCTCCCGAAACGAAACATCATGCAGCGCAGCGCGCGCGCGTTTCTGTTGAAACTTTTATTATTCAATTTCCAAGTCTTTTGTTTAATATTTAATGTGTTTAAGTAAGCATAATGTGTTTACGTGTTTGTGAATTTTTACGCGCGCGCGCAGCAGAGAGCTGGGAGAGTGCTTTGTTTCACGTTGTGATTTTAAGCGCAGTGTGCGCGTTCGGTTTTGTTTGCGCACCGCATTACTAAACGCTAAACGTCAAACGGGCAGAGGCGACGTTCGAGGGCCGATTCATTAACACCTTTTATGTGAGCATAATGCGGAATAGAATAAAAAAACATCGAAACAAATGCATCGAGTCAAGTCGCAAGTCAATAACATTCAGCGTCAACTGTCAAAATTTATGTGTACTACCGACCTAACCAAGTTACTGCGCTATTGTATGATTAAAAATGTTGTTGCTTTTATTTTTTACATTCCCGGCGTATTTTATCTCGCATTGTGTGGATTTCTGAATGAAATTTTTCGTTGAATAGCCCTAACTGTTCCGCGGCGGCGTGTTCTCCCTCTGCGCATCTGCTACTTTTCACCTGTCCATAGCCCCGCCTGTGCGCCAATGGGTGCGCTCGGCGTGGGCAGGAAGATGGCCCGGTACCCCTGGGAGTGGGGGGCGGCCGCCGGCGGTCGGCTCGCGCGCGCGCTGCCTTCGCCTATCCGACAAGTGCAACAAGTAGTCGGCGCACGGCTCGCTCGTACACGAACGAAAAAAAGCTCAGGAGACGACGACAGATTGCGACGCAAAATTGCAACAACTGCAATTGCATCAAATCAACACACAACCACACTCGACTCGGATATTTCTAACTGTGCGTTTTATTAATTAATTTTAAAGTGTGCGGATTATAAAGTGCGTTTAGAGTGAATTTCTTTAAGTTTTCAAAAGTGTGCGGAGTGGATGGCGTTGGGATGCGCCTAGTGAGTCGCACGTCAGCAGCAACGAGGGTGCACGCGTGATGAAGCGGTGGTCGAGGGGCGGCGCGTTAATCGCGCTGCTGGTGGCGGCATGGTGCGTTGCCGGCGCCGCCGGCTGTGGACCGGGACGCGGCGCTGGCCGCCGCCGCGGGCCGCGCAAACTCACGCCGCTCGTCTTCAAGCAGCACGTGCCGAACGTCTCCGAGAACACGCTCACCGCCAGCGGGCTCTCCGAGGGCCGCATCGACCGGCAGGACAAGCGATTCTCGCAAGACCTCGTCCCCAACTACAACGGGGATATCATCTTCAAGGACGAGGAGGGCACCGGTGCCGATCGCCTTATGACACAGGTAAAAACAAAAAAATCTAACCTCAATTCTCATCTACTCAAGCCGAGAATTCTCAAAAACTTTTGAACTTTTGATCTTTACACATTGCACTCTGTTTATTTTTATGTGTGTTTGTGTGCAGAGTAAATAATTAGACTTATAATTTATGTTTGTTGTCACAATAAGAGGAATTTTTAAACAAGTCAACGACCGTCTTAAAAAAATAAATTTTCGAAAAAAAAATTTTTTCGTAAAACAAACATAATTTCTATGACAAGGCTTTGTTAATGATAATTTATGATTTTAAGTGATTGTGAGTGCATAAACTTTATGGTTGATGGTAAATTGTTGATAGTAAATCTATTCCAAGTTCGGTTTGTTGAAATAACAAGTTTACGACGCTTTTAATTAGTTACGTGTGGGTTTGCTGCGTGCGTGCAGGCACACGAGTGATAACAACCACCGAATTTATTAGTCATTTGTTTATTGCTCACGCATACTCATCGGAATGATAATAAAACTAAGTGGGCCCTTCGGCTGCCACTCGGCTGCCCACTTGTGTGTTATAAACGTGTGCGCGCCCGCTAGTAAAACGCATCAAATTGGAATTTAACAACACAAGTTGGAGAGAAGAAAAAAAAAAGCGTCTCAACGGAAGTGTTTCTCACAGCGCAGGAAAGGAAGATGATGCGAAACCTTAAAACTAATCCGGGATGTCGGGAGACGCGTGAGAAGCGGATTGAAAGCTGATCGAGTCGTTCAAGGCGACCGGCATGAAATTCAGTTGTAATTACACACTTTGTACGAAAATCGCACTAGTAAAAATGGTCAAAAATAAAAAAATAAAGTGAAATAAAACAAGTTGCAACATGTTCTCGCATCAGCATCAGCATCGAAACCGTCCGTCAGCGTTTTCTCGTCGTCACCGTTCGATTTTTTCTCTTCGTTTCATCTGATTCAGCAGCGTGATACCGCGAATAAAATAATACTTGACTTAAGTTAAGTCAACTGTTGTGTCTTTGCGTCGCGCTGTATTCGCAGAAGCCATCTGTAATCAGCAGAATGTTTATAAATAAAATTCATATTGCTAAGTGCGCATTGAATGAATGAGAATGTGAAGTTCAACGACATTCGATTTTTCCGAATTTCACCAAATGAATGAAAATCATCAGCATAGTCTACGCGCGTATAATCCGCGTAATCCGGCCCGGACCGTTGTTTAATCGCACTCACAGATAGATAAGATACCCAGCTATCAAGTTACGTGCACTTTCTATTCATGCTCCTTTTTTTTTTTATTAACTCGCCGAGATTACGTTACATTACACTAACAATTATTCTTATTACTCTACTATGTATCAACAATTGGCCGACGTGTGTGAGTGAGTGTGTATCTAGTTTCTATCGCAGTGTAATAAAACGTGTTAATTATTTTATTACGACGTGTCGACAGACCGCATTTTATTTATCGGCCGTTTTATTGCAAAGAGACGCATAAATACAAAGTGTGTGTGTGAATGTGTATAGACTAGGATATTTTTAGCGACACGCCGAGGTGAGATCGGATGATCACGTTTGTTTTGAGTAGATTTTTCGCGTTGTGAAGGATAACACAGCGCCATAGATATTGAGTCTAGTGATCATTGATGGATGTGTCAATAATGACAATATTTCGATTAGTAGTTGTTTGTGACGCTTTTATCTATTTGCTAGTACTACTGGCCTTACGATATTGGGATTTCAATGAGTCATTTGAGTGTTGTGTTAACAAAACTGTAAATATCAGGGATTTTCGTCGAGTATTGCATTATTATTGGATATTTTCTTTTGGTTTATTAAATTTACTATGTGTGTCAATATTTTATAGCTCAGAATAATTCTTGGTATTTAATCTAGGTTAAAATGAATTCAAAATTTAAAAAATTAATTTATCGATTTAATTTTACACAAAAATTTTCTAATTCATAAATACTGCACGATAAAAAAAATTTCTGATAATTCTCTGATGGAATTTATAAGATTACAAAATTATTATCTATTTTTAATAAGAAAATCATGATTTTAAAAGCATAATTCACTAAATGAAGCTAAAAATTACCAAAATGATTTTATTTTTAATTTTTAATAATTTACTTTTACTTTTACTTATTTTTTTGTACAGAAAAATAAAAATAAGATAAATTTCCTCACATTTCCTCATTTTTTTCATTATATAGATTAAAATGATTACAGATACAGTTAGAAAAGATATTGGTGCATTGTTCGGTTGATAATCAAATTCAATTAACATTTCTATACGAAACCAGCAAACGCATTTCATTACGATTTGATTATAGCCATTATGATTATAATGCAATGAAGGCAGGCAATAAGGAAACGCAATTCTAAGCACCTTACCCCGATGCACCTCGCGTGCAAAAATCCTGATTAAATATAAAAGAATGCGTTTTAAATGGCAAAATAATTGATTCGCATTGTTGCGCTTTAATCGCTTGATTTGCCTAAACACTCGCAACAACATTAAACATGTTTTATTGTTCAACTATTGTGCATTACCGGGAAGAAATAATGTTATGTTATTGTCGTAAATTACGGAATTATGCAAGACGAGTTCACGTAATATTATTGCGGTTCGCTTTTTTTTACAACTGTAGATCAAATAAAGTGCATTTTGCAAATATTGTCATTTCTATAATTAAATTGACACTCGGTAACACATGCAAGTTGTTCATTATCACCGTCTGCGTGAAGTGAAATGGATTTCCCATTGACGGTCAATATCAATATTTGTTACAATGTCAAGATTACCATACATACACAATACTGACTTAATTTCATGATTATTTAAAATATAAGTCGCGATATATCTAAATCTGTATTATAGCAGGCGTGGGAAACTGCGATGACTACCGTGGATGACACGCGGGACCTCGTTATCGCATTAATCCCTCGTGGAATGTGATAAAGTCAAAAATGCACTGCGCACTACTTAAGTAATCTCATAAGGCGCTCAAGAATAAACCTCGAACTAAAATAATTTTCTGATTGAATAAAAAAAATCGTGGATAAAGTTCAGTATTTATCATTTTCACGAGGCGTATCGTTTTTCTGTGAATCGTATCGTTTGATTGACGTGCAATTTACAATTTGCAATAACGCGCGTTCCGAGAATCATCCACATCATGTTGTAATAAGCATCGGAATGCTCAACGAGTGTCGCATTACCCAAAACAATTTCGAGCCGCAACTCAAAACACACACCAATACAGAGAAAATACACAATTGCAGCGCGCATTGCGATGCGTAATCTGTAACAAGTGCAGATGGCGTGCGGGTTTGATCTGTGCGCTAGCGCGCATGCGCACATATTGATTCCGAACATGTAACACGAAAAAAGAAAGAGCACTTTACGAGTAAGTACAAATCGGGGTGAAAAATTGATTCGGCCGCGTGTAAATGGCCATTATGTGACAGCTGGCCGTAGTCACAACATTATCAAACTTCTCGCTCGCGAGTTCTGCGTTCCACGAATCGTCAACGTGCGCATGTGTGCCGTGTGTGTGCGCACTTGACGCGAAGAAATACGAGCATAACTCTAACTAGCGTGTATACTCGGGTAAACTCAGTGACTTTGTGTAAACGCACGCGCGCTCCGGCCATCCATCTCGCTTGCGCGTGCGCGCGCGCATTACCACAATGTGTCATGTGTTGCGCGTTGATGCGCGCGCGCGATAATTTGTCAAATTATAATATACGTGCGCGGCGCGTGGGCGGCCATTGATACACACACTCCGCACTCTATCAATGACAATAGGAGAAAACGTAAAAATAAATCATAACGCGCATGCAAATGAGAAATATTGTTCGCGTGTAACAACATGTAATGATAATAATAATCGTCGTGCTTCGTATCGGCATCGACGATCTTTAACCAGGCACGCCACGCGTATACAGTGTGTTTGTATCCGAACATAACCTCAATTGATGTGGCAGTGATATTGGTTTTCTATCGTACTGTAGGAGTTGTATCGATTTCTGTGGGAAACAACAATGGCTTGTCGGTGATTTTTTACCTTGTTAACGAGCCGAATGCGCTTAAACACTCGCAAAGAAATGAGAAAGCAGCACGACCGCTTTGTGTCTCATGGCCGCGTTTTTGGCGCGCATTATGCGAAAATCGCGTATTGTAATCAGATGGTAATGCGTATTGTTGTTGCGCTTCCTTCCTCGCCGCCGATCAATAAATAAAATCGAACGTGCGCGAAAAATTTCAAATTTCCAGGCCTGGCTCTTAAAATTCATGCAGAATTATCAAGATTTTTATCGATTTTAAATCAATTCGTCTCTGCGCATGCAGTTTACGTATTTATTAAATATTGTTGGTGATTTTAACAATGGCTCTTTTGTCATACGAGCATATGGTGTATGTTTAATTCATCTTGAAAAATAGTTGAACTTTTCTTAACCTCGTTTGAGCGCTGCGCAAGATGTGTGAAGTGTTGCGGTCAACTTCGCGCACTTTTAGTGCTTCGTCGCGGTGTGGCTACACGCATGCGTCAGGGACATAAAACTCGCGTATTAATTACATGCCGTATTTAAAAGTCGTTCGCAGGTTTGCGATTCTTGTTATCACACATATTCGACAAGTTGCGCGCGTATAATTGATTTTAGTTTTTGTTTCGCAATTTAAAATTGTTATAACATAGAAACTAGAGGAGATATAAGAACCATTGTCGTTTTAACTTGCAAAAAAACTTTAATTTAGAGAATTTATTCCTAAAATTTTCAATTTTTGAGTGTTTTAGCTCCAAAACAAACAATTTTTGTTGTCCATTTGTAAATTATATCATAGTCTATAAAATAGGTTATGTAACGCTTTTCAAAACATTAAAAAACACTTACAAATTAAAGAAAAACAAGAAAAATAAACAAATTTTATATAAATTCTGACTTTAAGGCACTATAACTCCTAAACAAAATCAAATTTCGCAATTTATTTTATTCCTATTTATAAATCTAAC